TGGTCCACACACACAGAACGGAGAAACACTTTCCCACCCGCTCTACCACCGAGTAACTGTCTGCTGTGTCAAAATCTAACCCCGATTTTGTTTATTCCCAGAGCTGCAACGTAGCCAACTTGAATTGCAGAAAGCGAAATTTCTGTGGGGGGGAGGGGGTTTGTGTGCAGCGATTTTTGGTGTCCGGGCTGAAATCATCGACTCGCTGCAACTTAACCGCTCAAAAATGTTTTTATTAAAAGAGACTACTCTACATCATGCAGGTCTCTTAACGTCTCACCTCGTGAAGTTTCATTACAGGCGACTGCCTGGCTCGGAACCCCAGGATCTCAGCGTGACCGGCCTAGGGCTCTTGGCACATTCACCTTGAATTACTGGATCCAAATGAAGATAGTGCACTGAATTAAACTAGTTGTTTGGTGGTGGTGGTGATGCAACGGCAGTGGTGCACAAGCACAATTAACAACAGCTTGACTCGTTGGTCAATAACAACACTGTAGCCTTAAAAAGAAAATAAATAAAACGTGACGTTTCAGGCAATAGCCCTTCTTCAGAGCACACAGCATAAGATGCTGCGAAGATGTCGCCCGTCCCATATCATGATGGGATACAAACATGCAAGCAAAAACTTGCTTTGATGATGATAATAAAAAGACGATATTCACATTGTCTTTGAAACTGATTCACCTAAACCAGAGCTACAGCCTCCTTTAGGGTCTCCTACGGTGCGAAACAAGTTCAACATACATACATTCGAGCCTTCATCAACAGTGAATTCTGTAACCATGTAAATATTATTTCCACGGCTGGTGAGCATCGTATTCTACAGATTAAAGGACGAAGCCTACCCCACCTCCCCCTGTATTTTAATAGATGTGGGTGCGTGTTATAAGTCGGTGTTGTGTGTGAGATCAGATTTGTATAATATTATTGGCACAGGACACAACGCTTTGGGGTGCGTTTTAAAACTTTCCTCCCAGAGCGTCTTATAATCCGTGGGAATAGGATAACCGCTTGAACGAGTCCACGCATATGTTGGCATTTAGCGGTGGAATATTCCATTATTTGTTTTATACAGGGGGTGTCGGAGGATATTTTGCGCAAATTCTCCTTGTCAACAACCGTGCAACACTCCGTCCTCCCCCCTCCTGTGCGTGTCGCTTCGGGAATGCTGCTGCCCCACTCTCTATTTTGTGGTACGCAGCTGTTTGTGTTTAAGGCCATTTACTCGAGCTTGTGGTAAAGGGGGTTGATAATGGGATGCTGATGCTCCGCTGTAATGGCGAAGCACACTGGACTCCCCAACATCAAAAGGTCACCGGTTCGATCCGATGTCCCGTTGTGGCAATTGAAACAATCGGGAAACATTCTTAAAATCCCAAACCCCTCCAGCCCCACCCTCCCCGTCACTTTCCCTGCGTCTACCCACCGAAAAGTATACATGGGGCTCACCACAGTTAGTCGATCTGCAGGTCACGTGTGGTGGGGTAAAGCGCGTGTACTCCCAACCTCTTCCAAGACGTCTGGGCAGCGAGCGTGGAAGAGTAGGCCTCTAGAGCAGCGTTCTTCACTAATTTTCAGAGGAGTGGGGGGGGGGCACTTTCGCGGATAAGACATCATCAGTGTGGAGTGCCGCCACACAGAAACCATTGGGTAATTGACAGCACGATGATGATGGGGGGTATTTAGACAGCTGTGTATTGTGGAGGACCGCACGTCAGGGGCCACGCTAAAAGCCACCGGGGACCGCCAGTGGCCCGGTGGCCTTTCAATGAAGCACGCACCGCTCAAGAGGGTGGTGGCTCTGTGCGCCTCCCTCTAGCGGAGGCCCTGCAGTCAGTCAGCAGTGGCGTGAGCAAGTCAGAGCATGGGCTGAACCAATACCCATTGTCAATGTGGGCGAGGATCGGTGGATCGCGCAGGACGTTTTGTGAAACTGTCAGCCTCGATGGGCATTGCCAGATTTCCAGATGGCAGTCCTGTACGGTAAGTTAATTGGAACTAGCTGTGTGGATATTTAAGTGTTATCCTCTCTCGTAAGCACGGTGTATTTTATCGGGGTTATTACAGTTTCGCCTCCAACATGAAGCAAAACACCCAAGACTCAGAGAAGATACTTTCTTTGATAAAAAACGCAACTTTTTATTATTATCTGACATCAACTGAAAGTTGTGTGAAGATTTACCAAAACGACTAACAATACCTCGGTGTAATATTAATATTATGCGAGGTGGCAAGGCGGCTCAGGTCAGATGCTGGGGTTAAATCCAAGTTTCAGCCGCCTATGATTATCCAGGATTCTCAAGTGCAGTGAGTTGATGGTCTGACCCCGGTCAACAATGACTGCACACAAAAAACACAATTTCACTTTTCAAAATCAATTTGGCTATATTCCAGCAAAAAAAATAGAGTATACAGGTAGTTCCCGACTTACAATGGAGATGCGTTACGATAACCCCATCGTAAGTCGAAAACATCGTAAGTCAAAAATGGCCTAGCCTACCCAGGAGTCTTAAAGAATGGTGACAATTTAGCAAAACAGAGCAATTTACAGTACCGTACTGTATAAACTATATACTGTATGTATTTATTAATTACAATACTGTATTGACCAGTAAAATTTAGAGTAAAAAACAAGGTAAATTCTTAGCCTACCTATATGAACTGCATTTTCATAGAAAGTTTTTTCAGGAAACAATCCTATCTGCTATATAAAAAAAAAACTTTTAACATGGATTGAAGGTATGTATCGTATCGTGTTAAACCTAAAATGAAATCGCTAAAGCTACGTATCATACATGCATTGAACGTATCGTAACGTATCATATTCTACTGTACTCACCAAGATTCTGTCCGTCGTCTGCATAACTTGAACGATGTTAGATTGTTGATGGCTACATTAACTTAGTTGTCGGAAGAGGAGGATGGCGATGATCAAGTTACATTATCGTACCTTGTAGTACGCTGCTGCGTTTGCCTGCCGCGCGAAATGAAAAATATTTTACAATTTTGTCACTATCGCTATCGCCATCGTAAGATCGAAATATCGTAAGTCGGGGACCATCGTAATTCGGGGACTACCCGTATATGTTTCATTATCATTCGACAAACTCTCTGTTACAGGTGAAGCTTCTGGGTTGGCACAAGCAAAATTAAAATAGTATTGCCTTAAAAACATATATTAATATAATAGGCAACGTTTCGAGCAATGGTCCATATTCATAGCACATACAGTAAATCATTTATGTTGAGTCTCTCTGTGGCAGGGAAGGTGGCAAAGTACTACTTTGCGGACAAAAATTCACGCGAAGGCACCTCAAGAGGTAGTTCTGTGGTAGCCGCTTCCGCGGGCCATTCTCTCAATGCTCTTTGAGACAGATCCGAATCTATACTTTTATCCCCTGATGCGCCGTCGATAGCACAATTTGAATAAAATTTTGCTCACCGTGTATTTTTTTAAACAATTGTCATTGTAAGGTTCAAAAACTTTGGGACTCAGAGTACAGTGAAATTAATTAATCTTTGCATCTTATTAATTGCAAGAATAAAACGAAGCCTTCTCTGTCCGCAACGGCCTGAAGCCAACAAAGACAAATATCCCCTTGCGTAGCCTTAACAGACTGTTAGAGCAAGTGCTGTTAGCGAGCACCTATAAAGGCCGGCACAGCACACGGGCAGGTGGGTGTCCAGCACCACGCCCGGCCGCCTTTGTCTCCCCAGTGGCGATGATTTTTTTACACACCGCACCAGGTACTCATTTGAGGCTGAGTCGACCTAGGGGAGGCATAGGAGCGATTCAGATAAACGTCACCGGTGGTGGCCCAGTGAGCGAGAATCGAACCCTGGTCAACCGGGTTCGTCACGGCGTGCGCTAACCACTACACTACCACGCCCCACGTACATACCAATCACACCCATATATTACTTTCATAAAACACAGTACAGTATACAAAGTTCCCCCGTGTAGCCTGCACAGTTTGCAGCGGCAAGTGTTGTTGGTGAGCCGGCGCAAGACGGGGTTGGTATGGCCAAGCAGCACGCCCCGGGCCGCCTTTGTCTCCCCATCGCCTGCTGTTTACACACCGCACCAGGTACTCGACCTATAAGAGGATCCGTTTGTGTTATTGGCCACTTGCTATTTGGTCGTGAGCGGGGTAGGAACACTTGGATTTGCCGGGTTCGTAGTGCAGTGCTAAACCGCTGCATCACCCCTTTGTCACGAGTACATGCGGGGACTCGTAACATAACAGACGTCATCACGGCACGTGTGCCAGGCTAGGTGCACCTAGCCTGGCACGTTTGTTTGTTGTCGTACGGAGTTAGACTGATGGCCTTAATCTAAGTTGTCTTGTGGTTGTTGTTGTTTGACTTACATCCCACTGGGATTTTTGCACACAGCGTTGGTGTACGGTGCTATTTCAGGAATATTTTGATGTTTTTTCCCTGGATTTTCTGTTTTGCACAGTCACACATAGTCACTTTAAGATGTTTTCTCGTTCATGTTTTTGTTTTTTGTTTGTTGCGGTTGCACCCGATTCAAGAGCCGAATAGCTCACAGGGCTATATCAAATGAATGAAACTGAAAGCTTGAGGCCATCTGAAGTGTCGGAAGGCTCCCTGGCAGGTCACGGGACATGTGGTGCATCTGTCAGTCTTCTCAGTCAGTCAACCCGTCGCACCTGGGTCTGTCCCGTGACCTCCTTTCAGCCAACACACGTACACACAAAGACAAATGTCCCCCATACAGCCTTTAACCTACTGTTGGGGCAAGTGCTGTTAGCGAGCACCGATGAAGCCTGGGCACGGCACACAAGGGGGTGGGGTGGCCAGCACCACTCTCGACCGCCTTTGTCTCCCCAGTGACGATGTTTACACAACGCACCAGGTTACTCGTTTCAAGCTGAGTCGACACGTAAACAAAGACAAAGATTCCCCGGATAGCCTTGAACAGACTATTGGGGGGACACACATAAACACGCGCATTATAAACACAGGATCACGCACACGCACAGCACGAGACTGTACAAACAGGATGGATTGCGTGTTTCGGTCTGTGCGCGCGTGTGTTTGTGCGTATTTTTTTTTAATTCGATTTTGTGGGATTTTCGTTGGCCACCTTAAAGAGTGAGCCGCGCGCCGTACGGCGTTTCGAGTCGTGGGTTACGAATCGAGCCATCATTCCCCGCGCCTAGCGGGCTATACAACAACAACAACACCACCAACACGCGGGAGCCCGTGTCAACACGCCATGCGTTCCTTAACACTATCGGCACTCTGGGATCCAGGAAAGTCTTGCGAGCTCGGCTTGTCAAAAGATGGAATGTACTTCACACGTGATATTGTAATGTTTATACTACATATATTTAAAAAAACACGTGGTACATAAGACAAGAGAGGTTGGTTGCATCACAACCGTCTAGGGCTGCTGCCAGTTTTCGCCGGTATCCGGCGACCCTCGTGACAAGGACGTGTGCCAAGCGAGGGTGTCTGTCAGCCTTCGCCGTGTCTTCAAATGTTCACGGCGTTCGTGGAGTCTCAACGGACTGCCTCTGGTCCTGGAAGCCCTCCGTGCTGCTGCCTGCCACCTGCGATGAAGATCCAAAGTCGCTCAACTGCAAAGGTAGTGTAAATCTTGACTTAAAGCTTTCGTGACTAACAGGCATTCAGATTCTTGGGGTCTTTCGGTAAAGCCACGCAGATAGGTTCAAAGAAAATAACGTATGTTATATAACACACGCTATTCGGTTGTGTGCGTGCGTGCCTAAGCGGAGAGCAGTGGTGTAGCGGTTAGCGCACTGCGCCACGAAACCGGCTACCCAAGTTCGATTCCTGCTCACGGCCAATACCAGTGGCGATTACCTGAATCGGTTCTGGGCCTCCCCTAGGTCGACTCAGCCTCAAGTGAGTACCTGGTGCGGGGTGTAAACATGGCCACTAGGGTGACAAATGTGGTGTTGGCCACCCACCTCCTCGTGTGCCGTGCCAGCCTTCATAGGTGCTCGCTAACAGCACTTGCCCCAACAGTCTGGAAAGGCTAGTTTATTTCTAGTCACATGTTCCTCGTTTCTGTCTCGCAGTGTAAAACTGTGCAATCATCAAGGGCAAAGTGCGTGGTGAGGCTCTCTTTTTCCCAGGGAACTCTGGTTTCCTGCCACATGAAACCAACCATTACGGTAACGCAAGCGGCTATACATCCCAATGCGGTAGAACCCTTTAAAAAAGGGAGAGGGGGGGGGGGTCTTGAGACTCGCTGAGTTATTTTCCTACGGTAAATCATCATCGCCATCATCACCACCATCGAGCCATGGTCCATCCACTGCTGGATGAAGGCCTACTTACCAAAAGCCGCCGCGATCGCTCGTAATTCTGCGATGTCGCAACTCCGCCAACCGCATGCACACGCGCTGATTTCATCGCATGGTTTCCATCCTCTATGACACGTCCCGTCTTTGCGGGCACCTTGATGGCGAGATGTTAACTACCTCGCCTGGCATACAGGAGGTCGTGGGTTCGATTTCGACCCTGACGCCTGCTGTATATTTGTAGTTTGCGTCTCTCTCTCATCATCACGGTGGCTAGGAGATGTTAACTACCTTGCCTGGGATATAGGAGGTCGTGGGTTCGATCCCAACCCTGACGCCTGCTGCAGTATATTTGGAGTTTGCGGTGTCTCTTCCCCCCATGGTCGCGTGGATTTTTCTCCGAGTCCTCCGGTTTTTCCCTTCACGTTTAGAAGCACGCCTTTAGAGACTGTGGCTGCTGTACATTTCCACGTGACGATAAGCCACGTCGTTGAGCTTTATCAATTGTGGCCAGGTGGCTTCTAAATAAGAGCTACAAAGCTCAGTGGGCCTTACCTACCTGGTAAATAAAATAATAGTTGAAAATAGCAGTTCTTGGTTGCCACATCGTAATAATCATTTACCGTGGGGCATTATCTCATCACACCTCTGCTCTCTTTGCCCCTGCATTGGCTACCAGTCAAGTATCGAGTGGACTATACGATGCTGCTGCTGACCTACAAGGCTCTCAGTGGGTTCGCTCCACGATATCTGAAGAAACGGATCCATTTTTCGACTCCAAAGAGGGCCCCGAGATCTTCGGATCGCCTTCTTCTCAGTCCTCCGAGGTCAAGGCTCCGTTCTTGGGGTGATCACCCCTTTACCAGTGCAGCTCTCAGACTATGGAACGGCGCTTTGCCTTTGCGAATAAGACAGAGTCGTTCGAGTTGCGTGTGACGTGAAACTCGCCTCTTTAAATTGGCCTTCAGCCCCGAGTGCTGGTCGTATACCCTGCAGATTCTATTTATTTCCTGCTTTCAAATTACACGGCCCATGGGATCTACTGGTGAAATGCGCCCGACAGCTGTAAATTATTATTTTCATACTTTTCTTAACAGTCAAAATTATACTATTAACCCAAGGTACAGTTCGTCCTCTTATCCACGTGTTCCATTTTTTGTAAATGCCAATGTTTATGAACCACGTGTCATCATAGCCGGCAGAACTCATAAAAAAACCTGGGTAAATAATCGGCACGATCAACATCGCTGTAGACTCGATCAAACGCCCCAATGCAGGACTCTCATGAAAAATAAACAGTCTTGGGACTCAGTGATGCTTTCCAGGGTAAATAATTGACATAACTGCGAATGATATTGTTATCACTCGCATTTTAAAAACGCATGTGTCCGGTGTTTAATCTCAGGCGGGAACAGTCCAGAACGCTGTGGGAATCGAGCTTACAATACCTTGGCTTGCCAGTAGAATGCAGTACAGAAAAGAGTGGCTTTGATAACGTTTGTACCTTTTGTACGGGATAGAGCGTTACCCCCTCGCACGCGTGAGTTTTCTCTCTGGGTGCTCCGGTTTCCTGCCACATGTATAATAAACACTCACTCATGGGCTGAAGACATATTAAACCCTATACAGAGAGCTGCAGAGGATTTGTTATTGATAGCTCAGCGGCTGGCACCCTTCCGGTTCCTGTCTGTGGTGCCTACTCAGCGAGCATGAGATGCAATTTGTATGAACGTGCACAATATCAAATTAATCATTCGATTTTTGTTGTATGTTGGCCACGCCACATCGATCTCCACCACACGTATGTTGCCCTAGTAATTTTAGGGTCTAGTTTTATATAGGATTACAGTATTATGGATAAGGGAACCCTTGTTACGCCGCTGGTACTTGTAGTGCTAATCCCCATATACGCCAAGTCAGCCAAGCTTTTCGCACAATAGTAAGATGTGAAAGCCCGTTTGTGACCATTCACTGAACAGACGCAGTTGAATGAATCGATGTTGGTGACTCTTAGTGGCGTCGTGGCTACGTTTATAGCTCAGAGGGTGCGGCGATCGATCAGGTGGGGCCCCCCTAATATTTGATTCGTCTCGCACGGTCGCACCTAGAGGCTATTGTATATCGCGGCTCGTCTTGCCCAATCGCATCATTAGGTATTTGCATAAGTCGCGTTTTAAATAAGTTATCCGTTCTCTGACACCCGTTGAAAACATATCTCATGGCGGTTGTCAAGGAGGGCCCCAACTCGTGGCTTTGCCCACCGTGGGATGGGTGGGTGAGTGCCCTGTCCCACGCTCGTTACGCTACTGCGTTGGCCGGTGGCGCACTGGCCAAACCCAACAAAAATCACTCAAACACGCTTCGTCAATTTACACTGTGGCCTTGAAAGGAAATTTTTGTAATCGATGACGTGGTTGGGCAATGGCCCTTCCCACTCTTTGCACAAATAGAGATGGGCCAGGGAGAGTGGATACGAGTTGGAGACTGGACTTGTTTATACCATGGGGCCTGATAAGAATGAAATGTAAATAAATATTTCCCCGTGAACAGTTTTTTTGAATTGGTACGACACTATTGGTAAGTATGGAACAACAAGAATAGGTTTTACACATTCGTGTCAATAAAACGGAAGGTGTTAAGATGTTCAAACACCAAACAGAAACCTTTAGCAAAGAATCAAAGTCTGCATAAAGCACACACAGTGCGTGTGGTGATCATGCAAACAAACTATTGGCAAGTGGCTATCAAGTTCCAGACGCAACCGTGGCTCAAGCGCGCCCCCTCGTGATCGAGCGGGGAAGTAACACACACAAAGACAACGATCTCCATCACCCCCCACGCCACCACCACCACCACCCCCCACGCCACCACCATCACCCCCCACGCCACCACCACCCTCCACGCCACCACCCCCCCACGCCACCACCACCACCCCCCCACGCCACCACCACCACCCCCCCACGCCACCACCACCACCCCCCCACGCCACCACCCCCCACGCCACCACCACCCCCCACGCCACCACCACCAAGATTTGTGGGGCAAGTGCTATTAGCGAGCACCTACGAAGGCCGGCACGGCACACGAGGGGGTGGGTGGTCAACACCGCGCCCGTCCGCCTTTGTCTGGCGATGTTTGCACACCACACCAGGTACTTATTTTAGGCTGAGGCGACCTAGAGGAAGTCCAGGACCGGTTCAGATAATCGTCACCGGTGTTGGCCAAGAGCGGGACGAACCTGGCTAGGCAAGTTCGTATAGCAGCGCGCTTAGCCCTGCACCACCGCTTTACACACTCCTTCACACTCTCATACACTCCCTCACACTCCCTCACACTCTCATACTCACACTCCTTCACACTCTCATACTCACACTCCATCACACTCTCATCCTCACACTCCCTCACACTCTCATACTCACACTCCCTCACACTCCTTCACACTCTCATACTCACACTCTCATACTCACACTCTCATACACTCCTACACACTCCCTCACACTTTCGTAGTCACACTCCCTCACACTCCCTCACACTCCCTCACACTCTCATCCTCACACTCCCTCACACTCCCTCACACTCTCATACTCACACTCCCTCACACTTTCCTAGTCACACTCCCTCACACTCCCTCACACTCTCACTCACACTCCCTCACACTCTCTCACACTCTCATACTCACACTCCCTCACACCCTCTCTGAATCTCACTTACACTCACTCTGAATCTCACTCACAGCCTCTCTGAATCTCACTCACACTCTCTGAATCTCACTCACACTCTCTCTGAATCTCACTCACACTCACTATGAATCTCACTCACACCCTCTCTGAATCTCACTCACACTCTCTCTGAATCTCACTCACACCCTCTCTGAATCTCACTCACACTCTCTCTGAATCTCACTGACACTCACTCTGAATCTCACTCACACTCACTCTGAATCTCACTCGCACTCACTCTGAATCTCACTCACACTCACTGTGAATCTCACACTCACTCTGAATCTCACTCACACTGACTCTGAATCTCACTCACACTCTCTCTGAATCTCACTCACACCCTCTCTGAATCTCACTCACACTCTCTCTGAATCTCACTGACACTCACTCTGAATCTCACTCACTCTGAATCTCACTCGCACTCACTCTGAATCTCACTCACACTCACTGTGAATCTCACACTCACTCTGAATCTCACTCACACTGACTCTGAATTTCACTCACTCTCTCTCTGAATGTCACTCACACTCTCTCTGAATCTCACTCACACCCTCTCTGAATCTCACTCACACTCTCTCTGAATCTCACTGACACTCACT